GTAATTGTGTCAAAGGAGCCTGGTGGCACAATGGTTAAAGAATTCTGCTGCTGATTCGGGTCAGAACCCAACAACAACTTTTGAGAGAAAGATGTGTCAGTTTGCTCCCATAAATATTTCTAGCTTTAGAAACCCTGTGTGGCAGGACCACCATGAGTCAATACTGATTTGATGGCAAGGATTTTAATTTTGGTGTTTATTGTGGGCCAAAGAGTTCTTGGATAGTACAGATGGTTATGCGCTTGGCACCACCTGAAAGGTGGAAGATTTAGAAACATTTAGTGGCCCCTGAGAAGAAAGGGCTGCTGAATCTACTTTTGAAAAGTCAATCATTTAAAGAAGCTGTGGTATATTCACACAATGGAATACTACGCTGCATTGAAAAACAAGGAACTCATGCAATATTATTCAAAATGGGTGAGCCTGGAGGACATTGTGCTGAGTGAAATATCTCAAGGTGTGGGTAAGACTGAGAAAAACTGGATAAATTATGTATACTTCATTGAAGCTGATGAGGAAGAGAATAGTTTAAAAGTAATATATTTTAGGGCATTATGATTATCATAAGAGTTCGGAATGAGAGATGCAGAGTGGAGTATACTCTGGGTAGGGGTGGAGAGTGTGGGGAGATTGTGTACCAATGAAGGAGTTTTTTCTTTTGCTTTTCAAGGAGAAGAGCGAACTGGGGGGGACGGGGGGGGGTGGGCAGGGAGAAAAGTGCAACAATGAATGAATGGAAATCCAAAATCTCTGTAAATGTTCATTGAAATGAATAAAAAAAAATACTATGGATAAAAACTACTCTGACACATGAAGTCTTCAAGAGCAGGAATTGACTTAAGGGTAACTGTAAAAGGATTGTGGCTTGAACTGAGTCTTTTACCATACCCCTCATAAATATGTTGACTCTAACCCTTGTTACCTGTGAATACAACTTTGTTTGGAAACAAGGTATTTAAAAATGTAAGCAAGTTAACATAAGGTTGTACTAAAGGCACTCATGGAGACAAGTAGATTCCATGTGAAAATAGAGACAGAAATGAGAATGACTCCATTCACTCGTCAAAGAACAGCAAAGATGCCTGGTGTACACCAGGAAGCTAGGATAGAAGAAGGAAGAATATTTTCAGAGTTTTCAGAAGGAGCATGGCTGACCCCACAATCTCAAAGTTATAGCCTTTGAAAGTATGAGAAAACAAATTCTTATAGGGTTAAAGCTATCCTGTTTGTGACACTTTGTTACAGCAGCCTTGGTAAATTAATACACGACTCAAATGCCAGAAAGAGAAAGATCATCCAGAACTGATAGAACACACCCAACAAAACGGAGTTGCTGAGGAGTGAGAGGATCTCGGATAATATGAGATGCATGCTGCCAATAAAGGACTCTGGGGAAAAATCACAGTATCTGACCTAGCAATGATCTGAGTCAGGAAAAAAACCCCATACCAACCACTTGAATCATAGAAATGTCGGTTGAAACTCACCAACTGGCACAAACCTCCAATGATCATTGTATAGATTCTCCTGCACAGAGAACCTACTTTTCATACTGTTTTTATGTACCTTTGAGTCAGAACTAATCCATAGCTGACCCTTCGGTGGGTTTTCAGAGGCAGTAAATATCAAGGGAGGAGAGTGCTCATCTTTCTTCTATTGGAACAGCTGGTGAATTTGAACAGAACACCTTTATATTGACATAGTATCTCCTCATCCTTAGACTACCAGAGCTCCTTGTTAGCACTGTATAATAGAAACACTGTTCTCTATTGTGCATGGACAGGGTGACTGTTGGCACTATTCTGTTCATTGCGCTTATTTCTTGTGCTTATCTTGTATGTAAGTTCCTTAAAAAGCCTTGTCTGATCAACATGGATTTGACTGTGCTCCTTGGAGCTACTTCCGCTGCTGAGCATGTGGGTGCAACAAGGAGACATCTGTGAATAATCATAAAAATAAAGGTCATTTAATGTTCAGCCCTCCAAATGACTTCCTGGGGTGGTGGTGGGGGAACTCAACCAACCAATTAACAAATCCACCAACCAATCAACCAACCAATGCAGGGAGACAAGAATGGTGAGGACTGTCATTGTACATTAATGGTGTGAAAAAGAAAATGTGAGAAATATACCAATATATTGCACAAGAGTCCAGTAGTTCAGTGGTTAAGTATTCAGCTGGTAATGGAAGGGTGGTTTGAACCCACCAGCATCTTTGTAGGAGAAAGATGCAGCAGTTTGTCTCTGTTAAGGTTTATAACCTTGAAAAGAAAGCTTATGGGACAGTTCTATCCTCTCAGAATCAGCTCAATGGCTGTGGGTTTTTAAAAATGTCTAATCACAGAGCAAAACTCTACTGACATAGAAATCGTGATGGCATGATAAGAGACTTGGAGGCTAAATGCAGGAGATGTAGAATGTGAATAATAGAATAGCTAAGTAAGAAAGAGCAATTGAGAAAGATGACAGTTAAGGATCGTTTACATGAAGATGAGAGCTCTGGTGGGATAGTCTGTAGGGAAGTGGTTGCACTGCTAACCTAAAAGCCACCTCACTGATGGTTTGAGTCCATCAGCTGCAACCTGGGAGAAAGATGGGCTAATGGACAATAACCCCTCGTGTAATTTATAGCCTTGGAAAACTGATAGAGAGTCAGCTATGAGTCAATTTCAGCTCCGTGATAATGAATTTGTTGTGTGTTTCTAAAAGTATCATCAATTACTATAAGAATCTTTTCTGAGCTGAAGTATTGGCAGTGCTTCCTAAATTCCAGGCTGGACTGAAGAGAAAGAGCACTCACCTGACATTGCTTGGTAACATATCTGAATTGTGTGGATGAATAGAATATCAAGGTTACATTTTCTGTGAAAGCAAATCAGCCTGCCGTCTAACTTCCTGGCTGCCGTGATGGGCACCAGAGGGCAGTAAGGACACTGACTGGTGAGTCCTGTCTTTGGAAAGAGGTATTTCCTTTCTACCTTCAGCCTTCTCTTCTTCTAGTCTAGCCTAGCACACACACAATTATTGCCTATTCTCCCACCACAAAGTGACAACTAATAAAAGGCAGAGCTTCAATATCTAGTACACAGACAAATTAGTTTGCTTATTTTTGTTGTCAATCCTCACAGGAGACTGTCCATCTTCTCTGTTATGTTAGGACTACATTTCCAAAGGAAATAAAGTATGAAATAATTGAAAAAGCAGCTTGAGGACTTTATGCTCTCAGATAGCAAAGGAGGCCACATTTTGGATACTGTTATGGATTAAATTGTGTGTCCCCCACCCGCCCAATCTCCTTCCTCTGCAAAGGCAGGTATGTTATAATAAAGTGTGTAAGGGAAGCTCTGTAAGATCCTTCTTGATTTGAAAAACCAAAGAGTTATAAAAGAATGCAGCATTGTGTAATCCCCTCACAGAAAAGGAAGTTCTTCTAGGGTTGTTGTTAAGTGCATGACTCATAGTGACCATGCGGACTACAGATCTGAACCCTGTCCTATCCTGTTCTATCCTTATCATCTCTGACTACTTGAGCCTGTTGCTTTCATCATTGTGTCAAATCATTTTGTTGAGGGTCTTCCTCTCTTTTGCTGACCCTTTACCTTTCCAAACATGATGTCTTTTTCAAGAATTAGCCTCTCTTAACAACATGCCCAAATATGTGAGATGAAACTTTACCAACTTTGCCTCCAAAGAGCACTCTGGCTGCACTTTCTTCAAGATTTATGTGTTTGTTCTTTTTGGTGGGACATTCAGCACTCTTCCCTAACAACACAACTCAAAGACATTGATCTTTCTTCTGTTCTCCTTATTCATTGTCCTGCTCTCAGATGCATAGCAAGTGACTGAGAAGGCCATACTCTGAATCAGGCCTACCTTAGTCGTGCTGACATCATTGCTAATCAATACTTTAGAGAGGTTTCTGATAGCAGATTTTCTCAGGCAGAGCCCATTAAATGAAGTGAGCAGAGATAAGAAATAATCTTCAGTAGTAAGGTGCATCCTATTGGATCCAGACACTTAGAAGGCCAGAACACATGGGAATCTTCAAGGAGTGTCTGATCTACAAATGCTGATTGAAACAAGGAATTTCCTTCAAAACTGATAGAGAGGGGCTTCCCCTTGAGCTGGTGCCCTGAATGTGGACCGCCAGTCGCTTAAACTGTAAGAGAGCGCATTTCTGTTTGTTAAAGGCCTCTGCTTGTGATGGCTCCATTACAGAAGCATTAGATAGTTAAGGCAGACACTAAGACAAAACAACGGGCTTAGAGTGGATTTGTGATGATTGCTTTATTCAGTGTGATTTCCCAGGTAAGGAAGAAACAGCACCAAGTGTAAGGCTCATGGCAGTTGAGGACCAGTTGGAAGTTCTGGACAGTTTACTCTCCTAGTATCTTCTAAATAGGCCATGAAGAAGTGATAGAGCCATGCAGCTCCTGGCCAACTCTTATTATCTAACAAGATGTGGCTGTAGGCTTTTCTTCCCAACTTCCTATTAAGAGACCTCACCTCAATGACTTGGGATTGGCCCATATGGAAGTATTTACACTCTGGAAATGGCATAGGTTAATTTTTTTTCACCAAAAGAATGAATGTTATTAGCATACTTTTGGCTCCGGGGAATCTAACCTTGAAAGTTTTAGGGGCAGAAGTGGATGACTTTCTTGAACAGATCTCTGAAAAAGAAGTACAATGAGTATTTCTCAAAAACTCTCTTCAATAATCCTCCTAGGTTAATGAAAACTCCAGCCATGTTTTGAAATCATAATGATAATAGATTTTCATGATAATACAAACTAACACAAGAACTTATGTTTCTAATTTCGCCTTTAAATGAAAATATACATCTTAAAATAGTGACACATTGATTTGAGCTACACAAAATAAGGAAAAGCTGCTGAGGTTATAATTACAATTGGGAGCCAACCACATATATTTTGCAGTGATGTGAATCTCTTAAGGTCAATGATTTTGTATTCTTTCTTTTTTTAAGAAAACGTATTATTAAGACACATGGATTGACCAGGGTGTAAATGTTGAAGGGTCATCTCTAGGAATCTGAAAAAGAGCAAAAGAGAAGATATAGTTGTTAGTAGAATGTTATTATATGAAAAAGCTATTGCAATTCATAAAACAAGTTAATGTGTTTTAAAAAGAACAATCCAATGTCCATTTTAGTCTTACCAAAACTACATAATTTTTACATTTCTTTCAGTGTTTGAGTTGTACATGTCCTTGTTCTTATGATTTCTAAGTAGTTAGAGTAAGATGCATCTTGTCAAGAATCCTTGGAATTTTAAAGGTATAAAGTACAGCAATCTTATTTTTATAACCAAAAACTCATTTAGTTCTGAAGTAATCAGTTCAATACATAAATAAGGAATACATTTTTCTACTAATTCTAGATATATGCTTAGCATCTAGAAAATGAGAATTTATTTTAGTAGTGTGTGATTCACAAGCCATACCAAGAAGTGTCATGTGACTTGATATTTTCATTTATTATTAAATATAAATGAGTAAACTATTTAGTTTCAGATCTTTTGTTCATAGAGTCCCTATGAGTCATATTCAACTTGATGACACCTAACAACAACAACAAAAACAAACCAGTTATCAGATAGTTTTTGTATAATTAACTAGGCCAGATAGTCAATCAATCTGATTATTGAGGAATTTAAATTATACATCAATTGAATGTTGACAAAATGTTTAAAGAAATAATATACCATGTCTACTTGATATTAGAGCATTAAGAAGAATGAATAACACTAGCTCAATTGAATATGCTTTTCTTTGAGGCCTGAAATGAGTATCACTAAATGCTACTCCACTGTCTTGAAAAACAGAGGAAAAACTTTCTGCTGTCTTGAAAAATAGAGGGAAAATGATATTTTTCACAGAAAAAGATGTACATGCTCTATAGTTTTCTCGTGGCTACTAAATTAACACCAAGAACAGCAAAGTTCAAGCAAGGGGCATTACAGCAGGAATCTCACATACCATGTCTGTAAATTGATCCATGCAAGTCATTCTAATCAGCTCAGGAGTCACTGGGCTGTTCATGGGGAAGATCTTCGTCAGTCCTCTCTCTTTGCGGGCAGCAGTCACAGCGTCATATATGGCAAACAACACGGAGCTTCCCAGGAACATTCCAGCTTCACCCAAGCCCTGAGAGGAGAGCAGGAGGTATGGTTCTTTTAGAGCTAGTTTGTGTAGACACACACACACACACACACACACACACACACACACACTTCACTTTTTCTTTTCTTTTTTTTTTTACACTTCACCTTTTCAACCCTCAGAATGGAGCCCAGAGAAGTTGATGAAGATGCACTATGGCATTGGCACAGCAGAAAAGCCAAAAATGCTCCACCCTGGAAAAATCCTAAAGACCAGGGCCCGTGCTGGCCTTTGAGATATGACAACTTCTCTAGACTACTTGTATTTTACTCAAAATGCAAACAAAGCAATAACAACCTTTGTGGTGAAGATTAAAAGGCAGCAAGGTTGTTGCCTTTAGAAAGACTGGCACTAAGAGGTTTTTTTTTTTTTTTCGTATGCTAACTTCCCTGGCTGTGTTGGATCTGTTTGAATGAGCAGAGTAGCAGGATTATGGTTTAGATAATAAATTGGTACATTTTTGTATGATTTCTCCCATTCCTTTCTTTCAAAGTGGTCTGATCTGTGACCTGTGCCCATCAACTTCTTGACTTATTGCAAGGGTGTGACAAAAGACCCACTGTAGGGAGAGTCTATTATGGCTTTAGTTTAAAGGGTCCAATTTGTTTTGAGGTAAATGTGGAGAGAGAAAGGTGGTGCCTTGGGGCAATGGAAGGGATTTCATAAAATGCTATAAAAATTGTTATAAAAGGAATTGAGTTGCCTCTCTTTGGATAGAAGGTTTTCTTTTGTGATGTTAATGAGGCCATATGGGATTGAGGTGGGTCTCTGAGTGGTGTCATACTTAAAGGGAAAACAAGCAAGGAGAATCACACATGGGAAAGAACCCTGGTAGAACTAGTCTTATATCAATAAATAGATATATTGAGAAAGGGAAGGATTGAGGATGGGCGGAGGTAGAATAAACTAGACAAGAGCTCAGGTACACAGCATCTCAGGTGCCAGCAGCTAGTAACACCTCAGAGCAAACCAGCAGTGAGAGATTTAGTTGAAAGCAATTTGTGATTAGGGTAGGAAGGGCAGCACGAGGAAGAAGACTAGAGTCTGGAGAATGTAGAGGTGCAGAGCGCAGCTATGAAAAGTGCTTACTTCAGTTTTATCACATGAGGACGGACTCATTTACCAAGATGTTCCACTCTTCCTCACTCTACTTGTTTGATTTTAATCTGTTTCATGATCTGTTTGAAAAGTGAAGTCTCCAGGAGAAAATGATGTCACTCCTGAGACTAGGATCTCTTATCACCTTTTATCTCATTAAGCCACCCTCATGGATCAACTCTCAACCAAACAACAGTCAAGTCTGCAAGGTGAGTAATAACACCAGGGTGGTGGCTAAATCCTTAGAAAAAGAACACATACATGACAAAAAAAGGGTGGCATTTGCTAGGGATGGAGCTCAGAAGACAGGAAAGTATAGGACAAGTGGAAATGCTAAACACAAGACAGAAGTGGGAAGAATGCTGTTAACACTCTGGAGACTGCAGCTAATGTCACGAATCAAAATAGGTATAAATTCTTGAGTAGGAAATGAACTTGCTCTGTAAACTTTAACTAAAGTCACAATACAAATTTTTTTGGAAAAAGTGATGGCTTTGACTTTCTGAAGGCAGTGAGTGTCACTTGGCCTGGAACTTGCTATCCTTCTTTCTTTCTCCTTTTGAAATTTGTATCCAATTAGGAGGGTAAACAAATTCAGGGACTATTGCCTTAATTTTGAAAGAGGATGTGTGGTGTCAAGGGTTTATTGTTCAAAATGGCTTTCTTAATCATTAATTGACTTTGACTTGGCTACATAGATGGGTGTGATCATACAAATAGGGTGTGATGGTCTACCTCATTGCTGCAAAAGATCAGGAATACAGACTTCAATATAGATTGTATCAAGAAAACAAAGGTCTTCACCATGGGGTGAACAGACATGATAGATGGAGAAAGGATTGAAATTGTCAATGATTTAATCTTCCTCGAATCAACAATCAACACCCTTGGTGCCAGTAGTTAGGGAATCAGGAGACATTATGGCATTGGACAAGTTCACTGTCAAGGACCTCTGTAAAATACTTAAGAGCAATGATGTTACCTTGGAGACTTATGGTATGCCTCAATCAGGCCAGGGTCTTTTTGATCACCTACTATACATCTGAGAGCTGGGTACTAAATAAGGATGACAGAAGAAGAATTGATACTTTTGAATTGTGGTGCTGGAGAAGAGTACTGAATAGCCCATGCACTGCCAAAAGAACAAACAGATATGTCTTGGAAAAGGTGCAACCAGAGTGCTCTTTGGAGGCAAAGATGACAAAGCTCTGTCTCTCATACTTTAGACACAATTTGCTAGGAAAAGCTATTCCTTGGAAAGGGACAATATATTTGGAAAGATAGTCGGCAAAAGAGAGGAAGACCTCCAATGAGATGGATTGATACAGTGACTGCAGCAATGGGCTCAAGCGTGTCAGAGATGATGAGGATGGCACAGGACAGGGCAGAGTTCAGGTCTGTTGTTCATAGGGTCGTTATGAGTCGTATTTGACTCGACAGCACCTAACAACAATAACAAGCCTATCTACAAGGAGTTCGCTAGTCTTGCCATCCCACTAGGTTTAAATAGAGCAGTTTCAGCAGCAGAAACTGGGAATCTGAACACCAGAAAGGAAGAAACTGCAGTGTATCCTTTGGAGCTAAAGATTCCTGTGCGTCTCAGCCTGGGACATACAGGAGCAACAGCAGCAACTTCAGTAAACAATCAGAGACCAACCTGAGACAGGGCCACAGGTCTTTACTCAAGCTTGTTGGAGCACTGAGGGAAGACACTGTAACTGGTAGAACCAAGGGAACTTTGTGACACTGACCTAAGCCATGAAGTTGAAGGTCAAAGGGTCTGCAACCACACTTGAGAAACTCTAGACTAAGAGGTTGTATCCTGCTGTCAACCTGAACTATAGCCTGTAAACTTCCCTAATAAAGCCCATAATCATGAGTAAGGTTCTGTGTGGTCTGTGAACTATTGCAATGGATTTTGGACCCAGTAGAGCAGTAATATTGGAATTGGAATTAGTAGAAGTAGATGCACAAGTATAGAGAATAAGTCTGACCTCATGAGAAGTGGCTTTGTGTTATAGATGTTGTTGATGGGAATTAGTAGAAGTCAGACTTGGCCATTCCTTTGCTGGTCTTGCTCTTTTTACAGAGGAGGATTTGTGTTCTTACCTTAGATGAGTAGATGGCGATGGGGTTTTGGGAATGCACTAAGGTGACATAGATCTCCTCTGGAATCTCAGTGACGGTGGGGATTTGGTAGTCATCTGGCCCCCGAGAAAGAAGCACCCCTTCTGGAGAGTATTTCAGTTCTTCTATGGTATAAAGGCCCATTCCTTGGATAAATGCTCCCTCAACCTACGGTCAGACAGTCCACATGACATTGGTTGAATAAACATTCCAATGTGAATGAACTCTAACCTATAGTAAGCCATTCTTTTTTTTCTATAATTATATTTTATTAATTTTCATAAACATTTACAGAGATTTTGGGCTTCCACTCATTCATTGTTGCACTATTCTCTCTACCCTCCTCCCAGTTTGTTCTTGTCCAAATGCCACAGTGCTTGTCAAAGTCAGTTCTGATTAATCTCCTTTGTTGGTGTGTCCTTTGCCATTCCCTATCACTCCTCCCTGAGAGAGACTTCACCCTGAGTCATAAGGAAAAGGGGATGGCGTATTCTCTTAGCTACTTCCTGCTGAAAAGGGACGCTGTGGGTTTCAGGGTGAAGATCTTCTCTCACTACTCTAAAGGGCCCCTTTGGCAGTAGGAAACACATAGACTATTATGGAGATTGATTTTGGAATTTAGATGCACTCTTATTGATTGTGCTTGGCTGTACATGTTCATATCCTTGAAGATGTATCATGGGGGTGTTGCAACCTAGAAGACACAAATTTGACTAACAAGTTATAAGTACATGAGTCCAAAAATTATGGAAAAGTAAAAGAAAAGATTCTTTCATTGTTTTACAAACCCTCCCCCAGGTCCCCTCCACCATGTAGCCCTCGCTCTAGTCTCCTGTGATGACAGAAATACCCAGTTATATCTCTCTTTTAAACGGTTCTCTCCCTCCTCTGTTTCAGTGCAGTATACATTATAGTAAGCCATTCTTGAAAGCGCCTTGCTGGGCTTAAAATAGGCTCTTTGGATGCTGTCTCTGTCACCCTGCCTGGCCTCACTCCAAGTCTTTCTTCCCAAGATATTTTACAGCCCAGATACACCTCACTTATAAAAACACCATGCCAAGCCCATTGCTGGTGAGTCTATTCTGATTTATGGTGATTGCATGTGTTATGGAATAGGACTGAGCTCCAAGGGGTTTTCCTAGAGGCCATCTTTATGGAAGAAGATCACCCAGGAGTGAGTTTGAACTGCCAACCTTTCAGTTAGCAGCCAAGCACAAACCATTTGCTCTGCCCAGATACCTTGATACTTGCCAAGTTCCTAGTCTTTCTCCAAACCCATCAAGTTATTTTTGACTTCCAATGCAATTTATTCTGGTCTTATGGATCTCTCTCCCATCACCATGTCAATCTGCGAACCTCCTACCCATCCTCCAGGGTTTAGCTAAACTGTTACCTCTCTGGAGCCCTTTGGGTCTGCCCCTCCACATTAAGTGCCTTTAGGAATTGTTTGCCCCAGGACTGCTGCACTTTGAACACACTCCCCATAATGTCAGTACTTGTTCACTTCATCTCTCATCTCTTTATCTCTTTGTCCTCCTTACAAAATTTTAAGCAGATAAAAACCCAACCTGCCTGTATTATATACCTTGTGTGATGCCTAGTACATAGATGCTAAAAAAAGTCTGCTGGATTTCCTAAAAAAGAAGCTAAAACTAAGGAACACTGGCATAAATAAATGAAGTCGGAATACTTCTGTTTGCTACAATATTTGGATTTATGTATTTCCCTTCATAAATTATGATAAAGAGTAGGTCAATGTTAAACAGTATGAGCTGAAAGAAATAGTTATATTCATTAAAAGCCATGTTTGTTCTGTTTACAAGCTATTATGTTCTAGGGAAAAGGGTCCCTTATGAAAGGAATGATGCTTGGATGTCCAACTATAAATATTGTAGGGAGTTAGTCTGAGATATAAAATTTAGAAATATATTTAGTCAATTTAAGTGTGGCCTGTTTGCCACACTGTAAGTAACAAGAATTAAAAAAAAAACCCTCAAAACTATGTCCACAGCTGGTGGCTTCAAAGTGTCAACTTCCTCCAGACCTCCAAAGTGTCAGCCTTCCCGTTAGCAGCGCAACATGTAACAAACTTTGTCGTCAGAACAAGATTGCGTTGAAGTATTTATCTTCCACTCATACTTCTCTAAAGCACAGAGTCTTTAAATTCAGTATTTATGTTGTTGCTAAGACAAATTTGGAGTCCCAGGGTAGTGCAAGCTGTTAACATACTTGGCTGTTACTGACATATGCCTTGGAAGAAAGGCTTGGCACTCTGTTTTAAAAATTTGGTTATTGAAGACCCTATGGACTGAAGTTCTACTCTTACACAAGATCACTATGAGTTCGTGTTAACTCCACCATAACTGTTATTGTGGTGGTTGTTTGAATATGGAATGCTTCACTAATTTGCATGTTATCCTTGTGCAGGGGCCATGCTAATCTCTGTATCATTTCTGTTTTAGAATATGTGCTGCCAAAGCGAGCACCATAACTGTTTTTTTAAATGCAGTTTTATGACTATATACCTATGTCTCTATATTTCCTCATTCTGTATGTTCACTTAATAAAAATCAGAAAAGGCAGAGAATTTCAAAGCAGAACAAAATACATATAATTCCTGTCATGCAAAGATAACCAAGGTTAACTTTTTTTTGAGATTTTTCTCTCCATATCTTAACTGTGTCTGTGTAACCTATAATATTTGTTGAAGAACATATGCACTAAATATAAGCAAGGTTTGAAGAACTCTGGGAAATAATGTCCTGAAGGAATAGCCACTAAGTGGAATTGACCAAAAGCACCTGGGGGTGGGTCTGCTGTTACACACCTGTCCAATGTCGATGGCTGGGTTTATGCTGAAAGCAGCATCCATGAAGATATCAGTCCTCAGAAGCTATGCCAAGAGAAAAAAAATGTGACAGGAATATTATAAATTTAAAATAGGATAGAAAAACTGTGGTACATTTACACATGGAATAATACACAACATTGAAAAACAATGAACTTGTAAAACACTGCACCACGTGGGTGAGCCTGGAAGATACTATGCTGAGTGAAATATCTCAGTCACAAAAGGACAAATACTGCACAGCACCACTGTTATAAAATAAGACTGACATGGGGATGGGTTTGGGGGAAGAATAGGAAAAGAAAGGATAGATAATGAACTGGAAGAAGTGAAGGGAAGGGCTATCTGAAAGAAATGTGCGGTTAGGCAATATTATATGTATCACAATTAACAATCTGGAAAAAGATCCATTACAAAGTGGACTAGGGGAGAGGGAACAGAGGGGGAGGGAGGAAAACATGCATCAATGACTGAATGAAAACCCAAACTTTCTGTAAACTTTAAAATCACAACTAAAAGAAAAAAGCTCCTCATTAGAATTCTAATTCTTCCCTTGGAAGGATCATATTGATTACCAGTTACAGCACAGATGGGTTTAAAGGGGTCATTCGCAACACGAAGATGGGGAACACATGTGTTACTCCTAACCTTATGAGCTCCAGTCAAACAGTCGACTTCAACCTCAGAGCAGGCTGCTCCATACACGAAGTATGGAAACGCTTCTCCTTTCCCCTTCTCCCAGTCCATGTTTGTCTGGTAGCCTCTAAGGAGAGAAATTAGGACTGAGAAGAAAAAGTGCTTTCCCCATGGGCTCTGCCTGTCCTCTAGGCACAGGGTCCTGAGCTGAACGGAGTAGGTTTTCCAGTGAGTGGCTACCAGCAGCATACATGCCCGTGACTGAAGAGCTTGTTCTTGTGACCAGTCTTTCTTTCTCTTCTGCTAGGGTTGCTGTGAGCCCAATTCTAAGAGAAAAGCCATGTACTTTCTCTCTGACCCATCTTCTCTGACTCTACCCTCAGTACTCATTTGCTAGGACGCTCAGAGTGTGTGCCAGGGTCTATGGTGTTCTTGCTGGCTGGTAAATAGATGTTGTTCCAAGAAGCCTTTACATTACTCCTTGATCCCCGGCTCTCCCCCCAAAATCCTGTCCCCATTCCCATTGTCCATGGACTCAGGAGTTAACACCGGGCACAGTGAGCTCTTCTTAAATTGATCCTCATCCTTCCTGCACTGGCTGTTAGAAACTGTCAATGTCCCCCTGCCTATGTGTTATTTAAGCTAAAGTTTTTTTTTAAAAAAGTTATTTACTTGAAATATCCAGTAGCTGAGAGACTGATGGATTCTGCAAAGGCTTTTGTAATCTGGAAAAGACAATTGGTTACAAAGGAAGAGAAGTTTGAGGAAAGTAATGAAAAATGTCTCTGTTGCTAGACTTGCCTCTTTTTTTGCATCAAGCTCTGCACCCACAGCCACTTTAAGGGGGGCTACAGCTGTGAAGCAGCTACAGGTCATGCTTTTCAGAGCAGAGACTGAAAGGCAGCAGCTAGTTGTGCTGTGCAACAGCCCCTCTTTTTTTTTCTCAAGTTTGCACACTGTGAAGTTCATTAGTTTTCAGACTTTTAATCTGGGAAGGGGCTGTTGTTGTGGTTGTTGATTGCTATAGATTACAGCATGACTCATAGCCACTCTATGAACAAAAGACCTTTCTATAACTATTGTAGTTTATCCAAGTTCATAGAATTTTACATAGGCATGCATTTTAGGAAGTGAATGTCACTCCTGCTTCCAAACCTGCCCTAAAACTGGGAGCCTCACCAAACACTGTCCTCATTGGTAAACCGTTATGGTATTTGAAACCCCAATGCCACAAGGTTCAGCATTGCAGCAAATCCAGTACAGCAAATTGACAAGGAGTGATGTACAAAGTAGAAGAATGTTCTTCCAAAATATAACAACACTAGTCTCACTTAGCTTAAGTGTTGTCAAGTTGGATATGACTCATAGCGACCCTATGAACAAAAGACCTGAACTCTGTTCTATAATTAATGTCTTTTTTTTTTTTTTAATGTTTATGGAGTTTATAGAGTTTCCAGAGGCGTCTGGTTTAGGAATTGGATTCCACTCCTGCTTCTAAACCTGAATCAATCTGGAAGCTCCTCCAAACATGAAGGGTAACAATCATGGCATTTGATACAGCTATGGGCCATTGATTTGCAATTCCAAATTATTCAGTACAGCAAATAGACAAATGACTGCTGTACCACTTAAAGAAGGTTCATTCTTACAGTAATATATTTGGCCTGAGGGCCACAGGCCCTACTGAATTTTAAAGCTACACCCAATAAATGCTATTGTCTATGCTCTACTCTTGGGTCCTTATCAACTAGGGGAAAAGTCTGGGCATACTGAAATCCGCTTGTAGAGATAAAAGAACCAATAACATAACCCAACATCAAATAATATAGCTTTCAATATTGATTGCATTACCAATAGCCCAAGCCAAACACAGACCAAACACAAATCAAGACTTTCCTTATGTGACTCCCATCAAGATGTGAGAAATTGGACTTTTAGAGTGGAGCCAGCTGAACAGCAGGAGTGGGCTAGGACAGATTTATGAACATAGATGTGTGTATTTGTTCCCTGCTGTGTACACAGAAAGGGGCTCTGGTGGCCTGGTCCACAAGCCTCTCTTGTGGGTCAGATTCACCAGTGGCTCTAGAGGAGGAAGTAGGCAATATATTCCTGTGCCATTTACAGCCTCTGAAAACCAATGGAGGGTCAGCTGTGAATGGGTTCTGACTCCACAGTAATGAGAGATTTTTGGTAAAAAAAAAAAGAAAAAAAAGGGAGATCTGATGAGCAATCTCTTCCCATATGATTTACAACCTCAGAAACCTAATGGAGCATCTGCTGTAAGTTGATTCCAACTACACGACAATGAGTTCTTTACAGAAAATCTGATAAATTATCTCACCCTATGACTATGTCAACTTCATTGCCAGAGTAAAGTAGATAAGGAATAACAACAACATCAACACTCTTTATTCATAGGAGGAATCCCCAGTGGTACATGATCAAAGCATTTACCCACTGATCAAAAGCTTGGCAGTTTGAATTTACCAGTGACTAACTGAGAAAAAAAAATGTGGCAGTTCGTTTTTTGTAAAGATTTACAGCCTCAGATACTCTCTGGGGACAGTGGAGAAAGAATATCACGGTTACCCACCCACCCCAAGCACTTAGCCCAAGGACTGGTCCATACCTTGAGGAGGCTTGCCAGTGCCCTGATATGGCCTGACCATATCCTGGTAAAGTCTCTAGTCGGCCAGGGCCTAATTGGGACCTCGACCCAATCACATCCTGATAGGACCCCTGCCCTCAAATTCTTGAGCACATTGCCATCCCCTCTAAATATCCTTAACAGGCCCTATATAAAGAAACTTATCTTTGTCTGCCTGCACACCATTCTGATCTTTTCAGCATAAGATCACCTGGCATCCCTCTCAGACCACTTAATAAAGAAAGGCCGGTTTGTTACTCGGGACCAGTTTCTCTCTCTCTCTGCTCTTTTTTCAATCTAACAAGCTACTCTTTCATCCAGAGCCCATATTGCTGTTATCATAACATGTAAGAAATTAGGCTATTAAAAAAAATGTCCCTGAACATAGACGTGTCTTCTACCCTATTGAAAAGGTTGAGGTGAAAGTTGAGGAATTCTTTGTTTCTTGACTGGATCACACAAAGCAGCCTGGTTTGAGCACCCCAGGATGCATTTGCCTTTCCCCAGCAGGAATGATAAAAAGCACACTCACCCACTCCTCCCATTTCCCCTCTGGGTTTTCCCTGATGATGGGTTGAAGGCGGGCCATAAGAATTTGGCAGGCATTCTGAAAAAGAAATATTTGAAATGGCATCAGTGAAAAGAGGCACCACAGTAAATATTTGCATCAATCAAAATGTGGGCTGCCAGTTGTATGTTCCCTGAGCAGGGCTTCTTAAACGTGAGTGGCACATGGCAGCTCACTGAAGGAAAAAATATTAGTACACAACAAGTATAGTTAGTATTCTTATATAAAATAAGAATACATTTTAATATAAGTGTATTAACAAGAAGATATTTAAAATTTATAAGAAACAGTTTTAATATTTAAAAGAATATATTTATAATTTATAAGAAATATACATGTATATTTAACTGTGGATCCTGCAGTGTTAACTTAAAATGTTTTATTGTGATGTTGTTTAAGTATGTGCTAACATAAATCTAGGTCAAGTTACCGTAGAGCCCTAATTCTTTCATGAAATAAACAAAATGCCAAAGATACACGCCTTTCTGTATACCAGAAAAACTCAAAGTAACACTAATTTAATTGATTGACTGATTAGGTTGTTTTTCTGAAGCTAAACTGAAGCCTGGAATATGGAAATACTGTTAACGGCCTTGCAGAGACTCTTTACAGTTCAGCCTAACTTTACAGATCAGCCTAACTTTACAGTTCAGCCAGTTGCTGGGCAATTTCTCACCATTTTTATTTCAGTTGCCACAAGCTTGTCATTTGCCCTTTATACCTGGCCATCATGTGCTCCTCACTAAGCAGAAAAGCCTCATCTCTGTAAGAAATCCATCTCTGCTCTTGCCTTGCCACAAAGTACTTTTCATGCACTGAATTGTGTCCTTCACAGAGAGGAAAATCTCCCCTTAGAATTGACATCCTGAATTCTGACTTCTAGTTTCCTAAATGTATGTTGTAAAAGCCATGCACTAGTAATATCGTAATTATAGCAGCACTAGGTAACTAGGACAGTACCCTTCTTCATTTCAGAGGATAGAGAGTTCTTATGGAAATTACCACAATTGGTAACAGAGCAGCCGTTCTTTAAAATAAGCATTCAGTAAAACGTGCTTATATTTTTAAAAAATTAATAAAATGTGCTTATCTTAAGTAAAAAAAGTGTATGAAAATGAAAATAAAAAATTACTGCAGTCATTTCTCAAACCCCAGAGAATACCCCTGCCTAGAGCTAGTGGACTTCAGCTGGGCTTCCACTCTTAATTAATTAATTTTTTTCTACTCTTAATTTTAATACAAATGCAAAGTACATCTCTCTGCCCTCCTTTGTATTATTGCCTCAGAACACTCCACATTCTACCCCTTAGCCTCTATCTCCTCCTTTTTATCTTCTTCTTTTTGGGAAACATTTGATGGTTTCTTATGTGTCAGGGTGATACCTGTTTTCATGTTAGTTTTTCCATTTCCTATCCCTGATCTCACTGCAAACAGCTGCCTTCTACAAGACTCACAAGGCAAACAGGTTGCATCTCCACACCTGTCCAAGTAGTAGATACTCTGTTCCTTACCTTGCTTTGACTACGATGCTCCTGTGAACAACTTTAGATTTTACGGTTCAACTAAACCCCTGAGACAAGTCTGCTGCTTTTTATAGTGAGACATTGTAATGAACACTTGTGCTTCTGTGACCTCTGAACTCTTTCCTTTGTCTGGGGTCTTCTCTCACTTATATTTCTTGGGGGAGTTGTCTCCTTCTGTTGAAATGCCAAATGACCAGCACTGGTTTTTCTAGCCTCCCCTTCATTATAGAAATTCCTAATTATATGCAAGCCTCATACTCAGAATCCAGATTCTATGCTTATTATCAATTCCCCAAAATAGATAAGAAGAGGCAGGACAAGGCTCTTCCCAGCATTGCCATTGGGTGCCACACAGAAGGAAGTATCACCTGCACAGCCCTTCCATTGGCGTCTGTCCCCATCGACCCTGCTGTGAAGACGGCATTGGGCACAGCAACAGTGCTGGTTCCATTTGAGTGTATGTATGACTCAGGGATGTTCAGTTCTCGACTAGCTACCTGCAAGAAGCAGAAGAGAAACAACATTTATTTTCTTATGTCAAGCTCCTAAATGGAATGCCTTTAGATTCAAATTCTGTTGCTCGCCAATGCCTTGCCAGTGCACCTTATGTGCAGGCAGTACCCATTTGTCAGTAGAAGCTGCACATTGCTATGATGCTGAACAGAGCTGTTTTCTTTTTTTTTCTATAATTATATTTTATTAATTTTCATAAACATTTACAGAGATTTTGGGCTTCCACTCATTCATTGTTGCAGAACAGAGCTGTTTTCAACAGAGCTCCCAGACTAAGATAGACTGGGAAGAAAGGCCTGCTGACCCATCTTTGTAAATGGGCTAATGAGAACCGTATGAACCACAGTGACCTGATCCTGTCTTCTTGCCATAAGCTGAGGCTGACTTGACAGTAGTTGTTGTTGTTGTTGTTGTTATGTGCCGTCGAGTCGTTTCCAACTCATAATGACCTTATGCACAACAGCCCTAAACTCTGCTCTATCCTGCGCCAACCGCACCGCCTCTGACACACCCATCCCTATTACCCCAGTCACCGAATCAATCCATCTCATAGAGGGTCTTCCCCTCCTGTGTTGTCCCTCAACCCTCCCAAGCATGATGTCCCTCTCCAAGGACCCGTCCCTCCTGGCAACATGTCCAAAGTATGTCAGACGAAGCCCCAGAATCCTTGCCTCCAAGGAGTAGCTTGGTTTAATCCTCTCCAAGACAAATCTGTTTGTTTTCCTGGCAGTCCAGGGTACATTCAGTACCCTTCTCCAGCACCACAGCTCAAAAGCATCCACTCTCCTTCTGTCCTCCCTAGTCATTGTCCAACTCTCTGATGCATAACAAACAATTGCAAATACCATGGCCTGTATCAGGCGCACCTTAGTCTCCAGAGAGACACTGTTGCTCCTGAGTACTTTAGAGAGGTCCCTAACAGCAGACTTTCCCATCGCGATACGCTTTTTGATTTCCTGACTGCTGGTGCCAAGAGTGTTGACTGTGGAGCCGAGCAAACTGAAGCTGTGAACAATCTCAATCTCTTCATCATCCATCCTGACGCTGCCAATTGGTCCAGTGGCGAGAATCTTTGTCTTCTTGACATTGAGCCTCAGTCCATACTGAAGGCTGCAGTCCTTGACCCTTCGCAGCAAGTGCATGAGGTCCTCCTCAGTTTCAGCAAGCAGGGTTGTGTCGTCTGCGTAACGCAGATTGTTAATAGACCTTCCACCAATCCTGATGCCACAATTCTCCTCATAGAGCCCAGCCTCTCGGATAATCTGCTCTGCATACATGTTGAAAAGGTATGGAGACAGGATGCATCCCTGGCGTACACCCTTCCCAATTTTGAACCATGCAGTGTTACCCTGCTCTGTTCTGACTACTGCCTCTTGGTCCAAGTATAGGCTTCGTATTAGCACAATTAAATGTTCTGGGATTCCCATTCTTCTCAGAGTCAGCCACAGTTTGTTATGATCCACACAGTCAAATGCCTTTGCATAATCAATGAAACACAGATAGACATTCTTCTGGTATTCCCTGCTTTCAGCCAAGATCCATCTAACATCAGCAACGATATCCCCAGTACCACGACCCCTTCTAAACCCAGCCTGGACTTCCGGCAGTTCTCTGCTGATGTGCTGTTCTAATAGTTTTTGGATGATCTTCAGCAGAATCTTGCTTGCATGTGAAATCAATGACACTGTTCTGTAGTTTCCACACTCAGTTGGGTCACCTTTCTTTGGAATGGGAACAAATATAGATCTCTTCCAGTCAGTTGGCCAAGTGGTTGTTCTCCAGATTTCTTGGCACAACTTGGTGAGCATGTCCAGGGCAACATCTGTTATCTGAAATACTTCAGTTGGTATACCATCTATTCCTGGGGCTTTATTTTTTGCTATTTCCTTCAAAGCAGCTTGAACTTCTTCCTTCATCACCATAGGCTCTTGCTCATGTGTTATTTCTTTAAATTCCTCTGTATCTGCCAATTTCTTTCTATATAATGACTCAGTATATTTCTTCCATCTTCTTTTAATACTTCCTGGATCATTTAATATTCTGCCCAAAGCATCCTTGATTACAGCAACTCTAGGTTTTAATCTGTTCTTCAGTTCCTTGAGCTTAAGAAATGCTGAGCGAGTTCAGCCCTTTTGATTTTCTGACTCTAGTTCCTCACACATTTCATTGTAGTATTTTGCTTTGTCATTCCGAGCAGCCTTTTGGAATCTTCTGTTCAGCTCTTTAGTATCTTGAATTCTTCCTTGTGCTTTGGCTTCTCTACGCTCCAGTGCAATCTTCAGAGTTTCTTCTGACAGTAGTTAACAACTGCCTAATAGAAGGTGTCCTTGGATTTTATAGATTGATGAACTTGAAGAGGTCTTGTACAAAATGTATTTATTTCGTTTTGATACATGTGGCCAAACTCTTCTGTGCTTTCTTTTACAATAATTTATAGAAGTCATGTGAAAGTGTGGCCATTCTGGGACATCTAGTTTAGTAATACCTGGAGATACATTCCAGGGCTTGGTGTTACTCTTTATATACTCCTGTACAGATAACTCAGTTATTTAAGTAGGGTAACTGTTTGTCTGACTATAATTTTTTTTGGACTATTTTGCCAGTATAAAGATTTTGTTGAAAACGGATGTGTTCAAAGACAGACTTGTGAATTTTTATGATTTCCTAATTCCAAGTATGTTGTTGTTATGTGCCTTGAGTCTCATAGTGACCCTATGTATACTAGCTCTGAACTCAGCCCTATTCTGCACTAATCTCATTACCTCTGACAGACCTAATCTCATTTCTCCAGTCGCTGAGTCAATCCATTTGGCCAGGGTCTTCCTCTCCTGTGCTGTCCCTCCACCCTTCCAATCATCATGTACCTCTTCAAGGACTGGTCAAAGAATGTGAGACAGAGCCTCAAAATTTCAAGTATACCCAATGAAACACAGATAGACATTCTTCTGGTACTCTCTGCTTTCAGCCAAGATTCATCTGACATTGACTATGATGTCCCTAGTGCCACAGACTCTTCTAAATCCAGCCTGTGCTTCTGGAAGTTCTCTGTTGATTTACTGTTCCAGTCATTTAAAAATAATCTTCAGCAAGATTTTGCTTGCATGCACACCTATGTTTATTATTGCTGCATTGTTCACAATAGCAAAGAGATGGAAGCAACCCAATTTCCCATAAACAAATAAATGGATAGAGACACTGTGGTGTAATCACACAATGGAATCCTATTTAGCACTGAAAAAACAAGGAACTCATAAAATATTATACAAAATGGGTGACTCTGGGGGAAATTATGCTGAGTGAACAATTTCAGTCCCAAAAGGACAAATACTGCATAAAACAGGGCTGACATGGGGGTTGGAGAAAAACTAAGAAAAGAGGGTATAAATAATGTACACTGCATTGAAACAGATGAGAGAAAGAACTGTTTAAAAGGAATATATGATTACATGACTATTCATATATGAATATATGACAACAGTCCAGAATAAGAGCTGCATAGCAAAGTGGACTAGGGGTGGGTGGGGAGGAAATTGTGCAACAATGAAAGAATTTTTTTTTCAAATGGAAAAGTGAACTGGGGCTGGGTAGGGAGGAAAATGTGCAAAAATTAATGAATGAAAATACAAGTTCTCTATAAACTTTCATTAATATTTCAATGAAAATAAAAATAAAAACGATTTTTTGAAAAAAATTCCAAGTATACCATTAAATAATGCCTGCCTTTAGTGTAAATATCTTCTATCTTTCATTGAGAGTGTTTAAAATTTCCATTCATGCTTTCAATTCAATTCATTCAAATGTCAGTCAGTAAAATTTATCTCATGGGAATAAAGGAAACTTTCCTATCATAAATAATTTCTTGTTATCAGTTTAAAAATACTCTTTGGAATTAGCATCTAGAATAGCAAGTCCTGTAGAGGTCTTAGTAGATCCTGATTTCTAAGACGTGATTTCTTACTCTATTACATACATTCATTTCTTTTAATTGGGGAGTTAAATTAGAACCAAATTGCTTTGAACGGCTGGTATAGAACTTGAAAACATTTTGTATTTTAAAGCTGGACTAATATTTTTCAGAGGCTGTGTGGGCTTGGTTCTTTCGGTGCATTGAAGGTGGTAAAAAGATATGAAATGGATCATTTGACAATTCAACCATTTTCATGTGTATAATTCTGTGGCATTGATGATATTCGTAATGCTGTAAGGAACACCATTAACACATGCTCAGTATTCCTAAGCAGTGATTCCCCCCTTTCTCCCCACTCCTCCCACCCTGGTAATGACTAAAACACTTTGATTTGCATATATTTACTTATTTACCTTGGCATTACAGTGTTTGTTCTTTGATAGTGGCCTTGGTTCTTCTGCATAAAGGAGGAATTACATATTTTCTCAATTCTAGCACTTTCTTTCTCCATCTCTGACTTTGCATTTCTGGAATCAAAGGGATCTCACAAGAAGAAAAGTTGCTAAATTGACTTTAAGATTCTATATTCTTCTAGAGGAGCTCTAGTGGCCTAGTGGTAAAGAACTGTGCTACCAACTCGAAGGCACGTGGTTCAGCTCCACGACAGAGAGATGAGTAATCTCCTCCTGAGTGATTTACTGCCTCTGAAAACTCACTGGAGGGTCAGTTGTGAATTGATTCTGACTTGATTGTACACACAACAATACAACATATGGAGAGGCGGAATACTTAACTCACCTGAATCATTTTAGTGTAGAGGCCTTGTCCGATTTCACAGCCACCATGAATCACCATGACAGAGCCATCTAGATAGATGTGGACTAGCGCAGCAGCCTGTGGGGAGGGGACACACAGTAATAATGCTTGTTTGGAAACTGATGTAGTCAAATGTTTGAATTCCAGTATGGTTGTCAGATACACGGTTGGGATTTTGTGTTCATCCACTTTTCATTTTTTTTTTTTTTTTAATACTGGAGAAGATAGACATTATTGATGACAATGTTCAGTATTCTTTTCCAATAAACCTAAACATTATCAATGTAAATCTAAGAATGCCGGCTCATCTCCCCTCCCACTAGAGTTGTCAATCTTTGGAGACCTTGATGTGACTGCTTTTGAAATTGTGTCTCTAACATCCCAACCTGCATACAATTTATTATTCTGGCCTCTAAGTAAAAAGGAGCCTCCATGACATGTTAGACTACTAATCTAAAGATCAGCAGTTAGAATCAACTAGCTTCTTTGAGGAGCCAGATGGGCAATTCATCTACTTCCATAGAGATTTACAGCCTCGGAAACCTGACAGAGAGTTCCTTTGAGTTGGAACTGATCTGATGGCAGTGGATTTGGTTTTCTCCATGTTGAAGAAAATATTAATGCATTTTTCTTAGGTCACATGGAGTTGACCATGACTCCTAGAACCACATATGAACCACAGATCAGAAACTTGCCCCGTCGTCACAGCATCCACTATGCTCCAGTTGAAAGAAAGGAGGACCCTCAAAGAGATGGCACAGTGACTGCAACAGTGAGCTTGAACATGACTTGAGCATATTAGCGTAGGGTATAATTTGAGTCAATCATCTTTGAGATCTAAAAAGAGTAGATTAACAGAGAAGGAAGCATAGAGGGGAAGATAGCACACAATTGACATGGAATTGAGGAACAGGAGATTAAAAAGAGACAAGGCCTTTTCTCCAGAGGTTTTTGATTTCTTGATTTAGTCCATATTCTTTATTTTGCTTGAGGAGGAAGAGAAGTTTAGAAATGGGAGACTTGGTTAAACTTAAGTGTCTAGAGTGTGGTAAAGAGAGAGTTGGAACCCTGACTCCTGACTTGAGCCCAGTGTCCAACCAAGTCTTGCTGCTTCCTTTATATCAAAACCTGTTATCCATATATCAAACAGAAGAACCCACAGAGAGGGATTGTCATCCCAGGAATCAGACCAGAGATGGGAGGGCCTGGGGTCTGTAAAGTGGTTCCTCAAGTACCTGGAATTTTTCTTCACAACAATCCTTGTGATGTGTTCATGCGTGTGGGCCAATATTCTACACTTAATCCTCCAGGACCTCTGCCTCCAAGTGGATGTCTGTGCTGTCTGCCACGAAACGTATCACTAATTCTGCTTCCAGGCTCATGGTGCTTCAACTTATCTGAATTTCTCAGCAAGAATTTGTGTTTTCATTTCTACGACAATCTGACAGGAGTCATGAATGACCACGTGCAAAGGAGTATTGACACAAGTTCTCCACATCGATGTGAGATATTATGCTGATGATTGTGTACTCCTTACTCAGGAGGACTATTTTAATTGATGAAATATAGTAGAGAGAAGAAGTGAGACAGAGAACCATCACACTATATTATAGGCGTAGGAGAAAGACTTTAAAATGACTGGTGCAGCAAGAATTCGAATCACCATCTTTTTGTGAGCAGGGTTTTAGTTTTAGAAAAACAACACCAATCATCACATTAATGTTTTTTTTGAGATATTATGGGCATTTGCACTATTATTTTTATTTCACTGGCGAATTTGTGTTTTTACTAAGGTATGAGAGCGATACTTTTTTTTTTTTTTTTTGCTTTATGGCTATGCAAGGTTAACTAATACTAAACTAAATAAACAACTGTTGAAGATCCACAAGAAAGCTTTCTTTTGAAGTGGAGTTGTATGTTATTTGTGGGAGAAAGATGGGCTGTCTCCTCCTGTAGATATTTATGCCCTCATAAACTTCACGGAGGGTCACTATGCGTTGGAACCAGCTTAAAGACAGTGAGTTGGAGTGTTTTGCGTGTTGTTTAGGGAGCCCTGGTGGAAAAATGCCTGGAGCTGGAACCGGCTCAATGGCAGTGAGTATGGTTTTTTGGCTGATGTGTTCTTTGACATATTCACCGTGGCCGGTGCGAGTAGATAATGTACTTGTCAGCTAACAAAAGATTGGTAGTATGAATGAGTGGAAGCCCAAAATCTCTGTAAATGTTTATGAAAATTAATAAAATATAATTATAGAAAAAAAAAACCAAACAGCATAAAAAAAAAAGATTGGTAGTTAGAATCCATGCAGAGGTGCCTCAGCAGAAAGGCACCTCTATTTATTCCTGGAAAAGCAGCCACTGATAGCTGTGTCATGCACAGTCCTGCTCTGACACAGGAGTTGGAATCTACCTGATAACAACTAGTTTTAACTAGTATGTGAGCCAAGCTTGAGAAATACTGTGAAGGTGGAGGTGGAGGTGGTGATACGGAGCATGTGTTCTAAGTGGTTTGGTGCTTCTGGCTTCCGCATCTCTTACTCTCATTTGTTTTCTTCCTTGTTAGTGGACTCTGAGGACGAAGGCATAGCAGAGACAGTTCAGCTAAGAGATCCCTATTGTGGTGTGCTGCCGAGTTGGAGCTGACTCATAGCAGGTTTTCAGAGGCTGTAAATTACACCAGAGGAGATTGCCCATATTTCTCCCATGGAACAGCTGGTGGATTCAAACCATATACCTTTGGGTTTGCAGCACAACTTCTTACCAGTAAGCTACCAGACCTCACCAGAACTTTATTCACACCATGCAAGAAACCTGTATTCCTTCCTTTGCTTAGGTTTGGCTATGGGAACATTTCTGAGATGGAGAGGCAAAGAAAAGAAATTAACAAATATGGGATATAAA